GCTTTTTCAAAACATGAATTTCTCATAGGAGTTTTCTTGGATATTTCTTCTGCATATGATAATGTGCTTCTTCCTGTGCTCAGGCAGAAAATGCTTAATCTGAGCATTCCAGTGAGGATAGTCAATTATGTCTCTAACTTTCTCTCTTCTAGATCAATATCTATAAATGTTAAAAATCTCCTGCTTTCCCCCAAAAACTATATGGAAAGGACTTCCACAAGGCTCAGTTCTTAGTCCTCTCCTTTATTCTATATATACTCACGATTTAGAACTTTCAGTAAATTCTTTTTGTAATGTTCTTCAATATGCAGACGATTTAGCTCTACACATCTTAAACGTTCATCCATGGATTATTTACAAGAATGGTTAACTAATCATGGCCTCTGTTTATCTGTGGCAAAGAGTAGTGTGGTGATTTTTTCCCGCCAAAGGCGAGTTCCCGATATATCTGTTGTATATGATAAGCAACCTATTCCAGTTAGAGGCAATGTTAAATTTTTGGGAGTTATCCTTGATTCAAAATTGGCCTTCGGTCCATACATTGAATATATAACACAAAAATGCGAAAAAAACATAAATATTCTTCGGTCTTTGTCAGGTGTTTGGTGGGGGTCCCATCCTTTTTCTCAGAAATTACTGTACAATGCTTTAATACGAAGCCACCTTGACTATGGATGTTTTCTGTTGGAGCCTTGCAATAAATCATCCCTGAAAGTAATGGACAAAATTCAATCGAAATGCCTTCGCATTATTACAGGGGCAATGAAATCCTCACCAATAAATGTTCTTCAGGTTGAGTGCGTAGATCCTCCTTTAAGATTAAGAAGGCAATACCTTTCAGACAGATTCTTATTTAAGATCTGCCAGCTTTCAGATCATCCCCTAATTCCTAAATTGCACCTTCTTTCAGAGTATATCTCATCTGACCGATACTGGACCCATAAGGACTCTCCCTGCTTGTTTAAAAGTTTTGTAATTTTTCGTCAGCTTCCTTACCCAATCTTTCAATGTAAAATAAATCCACTCTTTGATGTTCCTTACGAGGCTATTGTTTACCAACCCGACATTCATCTAGATCTAGGTATAGAAAAGGATTCTCCAATGGCAAATTTGAAATTAAAAGAAATTATAGAAAACACCTTTAAAGATTGGCTTGTCATGTACACAGACGCTTCAAAACAGTCTGATGAAGACTATACTGGAGCTGCTGTTTGGATTCCTAAGTTCAAAATCATTCTTAACTTTAAATGCCCCTCACTATCCTCCACTTTTACCAGTGAAGCAACTGCAATCAGTGAAGCTTTGTTATATGTAGAGTCACATAATCTTAATAAAACAGTTATTTTCACAGATTCAAAAAGTTGTTTGTTAGCTATTTTGTCCAATCAATTCCATAACAAACATAAATTTCCACTAATTCTTAAAATAAAAAATACCCTATTCAGATGCCATCTTAAAGGAATCCATGTTTCAGTGGCCTGGATTCCAGGCCACAGTGGTATCCATGGTAACGAAACAGCTGATGTACTCGCTAAAAATGCAATTGCTAATGGCATTCTACAAAATTTAATTTACTCACATGACCTAATTTTGCTAGCTAAAAGGAAACTGAATGAAAATTGGAATAAATTATGGGAAGTTTCCAAAAATGTTAAAGGTAAGCACTATGCTGCCATCCAAGAGGTTATTCCTCCCAAGCCTTGGTTCTCTAAATTTAACAAAGCAAATAAACATGCAACTTCAATCATTTGTAGATTAAGAATTGGACACGCTTGTACACATGCACATCTGGCAAAAATCAGAGTAAGGGATAGCTCATTGTGTGAATGTGGCTTAGATGAAGGTTCCACAAACCATATTTTTTTCAACTGTCCCAAATTATCCTCCTCCCTTTATGATTACCTTCCTCCTTATATACCTCGACCTATAGATTTTAATTCTCTTTTAACATATATCAGTACTCCTTTTGTGTATATTTTATGTGATTTTATTAATACTAATAATATGAAACTTTAAATCCTTGTCACTTTTAACATACGGGTAAGAGTCTAACACCTGTGTTTGTCATATTTGTTCTAGGTAATTCAACAAATAGATTTGTCAAAATTCATGGAGGAAAACTGAATCCTTGTATTATCACAGACTCTTATTTTAATTAAACTCATAAGCTTTCATTTTCTACTCAATACGTCACTGGCAAATTTTATCAAACCGCCACAAAAGAAAGAAGAAGATGAGGAGAATGAGTTTGTATAATTGGTTATTACAATAATTATTATTTTTCTTTATTATTGTGTCATTTGAAAACACAATCACTGTATTATATGAAAAAAAATTGTACACTATTCTCAATCTAAACATTTGTTAATAGTAATTGGTGGTCAACGGTGTTGGTTGCACTATTATATTATATTTTTGTAGTGAATGTATTTTAGATTAATAAATATTGTGTAAACTGTTTGTTGATTCTAATAAATTTAAAAAAGTGCTGTGAGTGGGTGCAGTCACATGCGACCATTCGGGATTTGACGAACACATGCGACGACTGTCGATTTCATCAATTTGTTGATCAACAATTTGTCTTTATTTAGGCATTGCAAATTTGAGAAAGTATAGATAAAATAAATTATTAAATACAAACATTATAGAGAAATTAGATTAATGATCAATAATATAGTCTAATAAATGAACAATAATAAATCATGCAAAATACAAAGGTATTTGTGACATTTTACATAAACATAATTTTTCTTCTACTGATACTGTTCATAATATTACCGTGCATCAAAACGGCTTTTTCCTTTTTTATGTATTTTATTTGTGTTAAAAATATGTAATTTGTTATTTGTGTTTTGTTACTAGTGCTTCAATGTATTCTTTGATTGAGTAGAAACATTTTTCAATGAAGTAATAATAATGCTTTTAGTTTTTTAATGAATAGTGTAATCTTATTTTCAGTTTTTATGTGGATATGTAATTAATTGTAAATGTGTTTTTACAGCCATGTAGTAGCGACTCTGGTTTAGCATTTTAATTCTTGATGGTGGTAGGTATAGTTTGTCTCTGTGGTGTGTATTGAAATAGTGGTTGTCTTTTATTTATTGCATTTACATGTGGTTTTGTATGATAAATTACAGCACATGCACCCAGCAAGGGTATAACAATATGAAATAAAGCTAGCTAGCTCTAATGCCTTAATTCTAATACTAATATTTATATTATTATAGTATTTAGTGTATATTCCATTACTATATTTATTTATTTACTTTAACTTAACATAATATTCATCTAATTTATAGTAACATTTCTTAATCAAAAAGTTATTTAGTGCTATCACAAACTTTGTGACGATAATATAAATAGATGTAATATACAACTTACGAAGAGAAATATATCAATATTGCCTAAAACCACTTTATTTTTATACAGTTCTGGACCATATTCCATAGCAGTTAAACTATATAATACATTACTCAAAGATATAATAGAAATAGAAGAATATAAGATTACTTACATTCTTCTATTTCTAATATATATATACACATTTATATTCTTCTATTTCTATTATATCTTTGAGTAATGTATTATATAGTTTAACTGCCATGGAATATGGTCCAGAACTGTATAAAAATAAAGTGGTTTTAGGCAATATTGATATATTTCTCTTCGTAAGTTGTCTATTACATCTATTTATATTATCGTCACTAGCTTTTTGAAATATATCTTAGCATTTTCTTACTAATTTTCGTGATTCTAATATGTATAAAGATGTTCTCTGTTAATATCTTGTATTGTATAAAATATAGTCTACAGCTTCCCTAGTCAATATTTGCTAGAACTCTTATTTTGACATTTGAAACATTTTTACTTTTGAGAGGTGATTTATGTTCTTGAGAACAAATATGAAAATATCAAATATTTATAATGATAGTAGTGTGAAGATGTTATGTTTAAAAAGTAGAACCTACAATTGTCAAGATCTTGTAATCAACTCGCCTGCCAAGTTTGAAAACCTAGGCATATACACTACTCTTGCGGCAACTATGACAAAATCTTCCCTAAGTGGCAATCTATGGGGATGCCTATAGTCAGCAGCAGGCTTTCATAGGATATATATTCATAGGAATAATGAATTAAGAAAAAATAAATAGAAAAATTACTGACCGGTCGTGATCTCAGCTTCTGTAATCAATGTGAGATATGCATCCTGGTTGGGTAGTTACTTTGATCTTCGATCCTGGTGAATACCAGATTTATTCTGGATAACAAATCGCAACTCAAAGTATCGGTAGCACACATCATCATCATCAGCAGCAGTCCACTGCTGGAAATAGGCCTCTCACAAGGCGTGCCTCTTAGCCCGATCTTCGGCTACACGCATTCAGTTTTTATCAGCCACCTTGCGCAGATCGTCGTTCCATCTGGTCAGGAGGCGTCCCACACTACGCCTAGACGCGGTGTTCACTCCATAACACATGTATAATAAAAAGTAGCACACATGCAACTTATTATTATGTAAGTTCTTGTACATAGATTACTGTATTTATTTATGTTCTTGTACATAACCTTTGAATTTTTTACATATTTAACTTTATGTCGTCGCGTAATGGCCGCGGCGCATGCCGCGACACATGGTGGGGTGTGGATAGCTTGCTACATATTTATTTATCTATGGGTGTGGACAGAAACGTCAAAACCATAGATAAATAAATATGTAGCAAGCTAGTCAAAACAAACGTCATCCTAAATCCGTAGCTACATATTTATACAATTGTAGTCAAGCTGTCAACATCGATATTTTAGGGCCATAGACATAAGGCTAGGAATATTTGTATAGAGATTACCACCCGTGGTTATGTAGTGTAGATTGATTCTGCTTTATGAGTGTATCGTCGCCACGACAGCCGTTTAAATAACTGTCGAACTGTAAACGGAATTTGTTAACAAATTGGTACGATTTTAGTTGATACGTTTTCCCTTAGTTCTATTCCTATAATAATATGTCGAATAAAAGAAAATCTTTCGCCACACCAATATCAAAAACATTTACTAAACGACAGTCGTCAGTACCGGCTACAACATCAAAATTACCTAGAATTCCTACCACATCGATTAAACAAAAAAATGTTCTTGGGCGACCTAGAATCAATAACAACATTACGGTTATTGGTGAAAGAGACAGAATAATTAACAAAGCAGACGTTTCTGGCCCTGAATTCGAATCTATTTACTGCCAGATTGCTTACGGTAGATTCTTGCGCACTATGCTCGTAGATTGCTTAGTTGAAGAAAAAATAGAACGTGAAGAAACACAAATGGACATTCAAATGGCTCAATTAGCTGACAGATTAAAAAAAACCATGGAACAGCTAGACAAAACAAATCGAAGATTGAAGGAAATATCTTTTATTGTTGAACAGAAAAGGTTGGCTTTTTAATTTTTTTATTTTAGGTTTTATAAATATTTCCGGCATTTTGTGGTGGTGTGGTGTGACTTTAATTTTTTTAGTTTGTAGTGTCTTTTTATCTTTACACAACACCATAAGAGGATATTTGTAAACTGTTAGTTGTAGGATAATTGAAATTTGCTTTATGGCCGGGACTGTAGCCAGCAAGTATGCTGACACTACGGTTATGCCAGTTAAAGGTTATACATAGTTACAGCCTATGTAATATTATTATTAACCCTTCAGTTCCCATAAAAATCCCATGCAGTCACATGTGTATGTCAAATCCTGAGTGGTCGCATGTGACTGCACTCACTCAGAGCACTTTAAACCATTAAAGCTTCTATTTAGAGACTACTTTTCTATGAAGAAGTTTGGCATTATAAAATCTATACAATATTCTCTATTCTGTGGTCTAAAAAGTTAGGTTTTACTTCATTACAAAAAGACTATTGTATTGTGATAACAAAAAACGGATACATGACAAATGGATGTCGGTAGCGTGAAAATCACTATTATATTACTCAATGTTATTTACTTAAATAGATAAATTATATTCACACAAAAACTCATAACAATTTTATAATAAAATACTATAGTACTACTAACTAGTACTTTTTTTTGCAAGTTACATGAGAGATAGAAAACAGTATGTGGAGTATGGCGGGTACCGGTCGGAGCCTTATTTTACTAGGTCTGGCGTGAGTCAAGGTAGTAATTTAGGGCCGTTAGAGTTCAACATAATGATTAATGATCTACCCGAAGTAGTAAGAGAGGCTAAATGTCTGTTATTTGCAGACGACCTAAAGTTGCTTTTAGCCATCAAGACTGAGGATGATTGTCGGCACCTTCAGCAAGATATCGACCAAGTAGTTGAATGGAGCCATAAAAATAAACTGCAGTTTAATATTTCAAAATGCTCTATTCTATCATTTAGTCGTGCAAGGGCACCACTCCATTACAACTATAAGGTGAATGGCGAGCTAATGAAGAGGGAGGAATCAGTCCGGGATCTTGGAGTCCAGATGGATGTCAAATTGACATTCCGGGAGCACATCATGAATATATGTAAGAAAGCTTATAAACGACTAGGGTTTATCATTCGCAGAGCAGTAAAATTTACCAACATTAAAGCAATCTCAGTGCTGTATGATGCTCTAGTAAGGAGTCAGCTGGAGTGTAACTCAGCAATATGGGCTCCACATGAAAATAAATACAATCTTATGCTGGAGCGCATTCAGAATAAATTCACGCGATTTATATATCATAAGCTTTATGGGGTTTATCCATCCTACCCCTTGATGTATCCAACCTTGTTTGTTTTAGGTATGGTTGGATACAACAAGTTGGAAACTAGAAGAGATCTAGCGCTGGTAATCTACATTTTAAGGGTGTTCCGTGGTTACATCAGCAACCCGGGTGTGCTGCAGTGGATAGGCTTATGCGTGCCTGATAGGTACGTACAGCGGCGACGACGGCCGAGCTTGCTCGCGATGCCACGCGGCAGGACTAAACTGGTTCGCAATACCCCCCCTCACGCGAACGATACACATACTAAATTTGGTAGCTGAGAAGTTGGACTTATTTTCGTGTTCACGGAGTGAATTCGCAAAAGTGACATTATTTACAATATGTTATTCTTAAATTGTAGTATACAATTGATTGTAATGTATTGTCATTGAAATTAATTATTATGTATTGTTATTTAAATTAATTATTGTGTTGTAATTAGTAATCTTTTACCATTTGAATTGTTACTTTTTGAATTGAGATGCTACATTTATCGATTTAGGTTTTCCCTGTAATGGTAGATGTTAGTAGGAAATATAAATAAATAAATAAATAGTATACTATAGTAATAAAACAAAAAAAAATCCAAAAATTAACACAACAACATGCAAATGAAAATGGCGTATGTAATGAAAGTAGGTTATAAATAAATATCTACAGACTGTTTATTGCACTAGAGGATAGAAAATTTGATATTGATTCTATATTGCCAAACTTCTTCAGAGAAAAGTAGTCTCTAGTTATAAGTTTTAATGGTTTAAAGTGCTGTGGGTGTGCATGATCGAATCCGACTGATCGACCGAATAGCTCCGCAGTCGAATTCGACCGCTTAGAGATTGAGGGGTTAAACACAGACCTTTTACTTCTAAGATGGCTATGGATCAAATAGTTTTGTGAATGGTGTAATATATCATAGAAGTTGGAAGTACAGAAATATTGTATGTAATTGTTTATAATTATTACTTTAATCTAGCCCCACCATTACTGTCTAGTGATCCAAAATCATATTTACATTATTTATTTGAATTACTTGATTAAAACTTAATAGCAGCTAAGCTTTATGCTGTGGGTGTGGCATCACACAGGTTTAGATGCATATAGGTTGACAATAATGTGTGCCTTGTATACACAGTATATAGAAATAATACCATTATTGTCTGAAAGGGCATTGCCCATTTTCGGCCCTAGAACGCTCAACAATGAGCATTTGCTAAATATATAATTGTATTTTTACAGAGACATGTATTATGACTGGGGTCTTCATCAACTGGACACTTTAGTTGAGAGTGTTGAGTACGATGACAACCATTTTAAATCACTTACACGGTTTGGATATCATGCACTTCATCATTATTTTCCAACGTTGGATCATGCAAAACTGAAATATCTTTATCCTACCTTTCTTGAGCACTGCGAGAAATTTGGAGTTGAATTTCGAACATCATATATTATAAAGCAGTCATAGTAAGCAATTATTAAGGAAACGCCTCAACAATTTTAAAGAAAGAAAAACTTTGTACGTTAAATAGAAACGCTATAACTTAACGTACAGAAAACACTTCTGACCATACTCTAATAAATGATTATGGATGTTATTTTTCGATGACTAATAAATTAGGATTTTGAACTATATACTTCTTATAAGGAAATAATATTATTTTTAAAATATTTTTATTATACGTATTTATAAAGTAAAATACGTATGTTTAAAAAAAATTAAAATTATTCATTAATGGTATTAAGTTTTGGCTGGTAGGTCTATTGGCAGCGTTTAATTTTGTGAATTAAGAATATAAATTACTATCCTCGATTACGAATCAAAATGCAGATGCGCTGTCACCCGTGAGGACTTAGATGGAATACCTCGTTTCCAGTAAAGAGGGTATCCGGTTCTCTACACTTACCATACGAAACACAGCAGCATTAAGCTACGATTTGACGCCGGTATTCCATGAGAGCGTGGTTCTTCCCCGGTTGAGCCGACCCATTCGTGCTACAACTACTCTCCCGTAATATAACTACAGCATGGCTCTACCACGTTAAAAAATTTGCTTTGGCCAGCTAAACATTTATGTTTTATTATTTCATAAGATTTTTATTATTTTAAGATTAATATTATAATATCGGTTATGTAACCGTTGCAGATAAAAACTGAAAACGCCCATCCTTACTCAATAGTCAATACTGATGGACAATACACGATAAGCATATATAAATTGTACATCAATGTATTAAAATAACTCGATGTAGAGTATTCATATTTCATGTATCGAATTAATCAGGTGCTTCTTTACTTCGTCAACATCAAGGATCATATTTTTAAATATTAATGTACTACTCTCTACCGAAAGTCAACATTGGTTAACATCGAATAAACATCGATGTTTATTATCGAATAGGCAAACCTGCTAGGATAGAGTGCGCGCAAGACTTTGAGTTTGAGTTGAGTATTAAACCAAAAGAGACGGCATCGCAAGTTCGCAAGGCATACGCCTCTGTCAAAGGTACGAGAGTCCGACTCATACCCTTTATTAGGGTTGTCGATCTGAAATCGAATAATCGAAGAATCGATTTCTTGTGCCTAAAAGATCGATTTTAACCGATATTGTACTGAATCGATCCAATGAATCGATATTTCACCCTAGAAAATCAAGATCGAATCTTTCTCTGTTTTCATAAGAACTATGAAATTATTTGCAATTAGTTGAATGTAGCCACCTCATTAGTTGAATGTACCCAAACTCTAAAGAACAACAGATTTTCGATTCAAAAACTAGCAAAACTGCTGTGTGATCAGTTTTCGCTTTCGCCAATTCTTAATCTGTACTTAATACGAATGTGAAAAACAATAAATTTTTGAAAAAAAAAACGTTCTTTTAGAGCTCGATTTTTTTGAATCGATTCATCAGATTTCGATTCAAATCAATTTAAAAAACGACCTTTTTCGGAATATAAAACTAGTTGCACCGCGTTTCGCGTTTGCGCCCTCCTTTCTGCCAAGGAAGGTCGTGTCAGTCTACGGCTTAAAGATCTCTCATCAGATCGGTAAGCCAAACCCAAAAGGTGGAGTTTAGTGGGTAAAAGTCTCCACATAATATCATTTAATTGATTTAGTTTTTAATAAAAGTTTATCAGTTACTGTAGTATTATATTAACACACAAAACAACGCAGACTTCGGTTGCAGCTTGTAGAAATCATGAATCTTGGATACCTAAACGGATTAGCACCATTTGCTCCAAATATGTCGATAAATCATATTTCATAATCATACCGCAATTTAACAATAAAAAAGGTTAGCCAATACTGCTGTACCAACCTTGAACTTGTGGGAGGTAATGTCTAGCTGTAATTATATCAATAAATTAAATAGTTTTATTATTGCCCTTGACAACAATATTATTCTTCTTGAAAATATTTTACAATTTCAACAAATTCACAATTATGATTTCTTATATTTGCGAACACTACACATTAAATGAAACTAATTTTATGAATTTTATCGTGATAAATTTGACTTTTGATTCCTAACGTTTCGGGTGTTTGACATTACGAACTTTAATATCACACCTTTAACAAAATGTAGCAGCGCGGCAGTGAGGCGGCGCGGCCTAAAAACGACTGTATCTAAACTAACAGACTGTAAACCAAGGAAAATTAAACTGAAAAAAAAAACGCCTCGAAATAAAAAGCAATAGCATGAAAAGGCTTCAATGGCAATAACGATGTTTTAAAAAAAATCAATTTCATAATATGTTATTGTAAAAAAACAATAATTGTAAAATAAATTGTGCCATAGACTTCTATTCCATTCACCTATTACACCACATTTTTTCCTGACGGTCAAAAATTACCCAGTATATCATTACTATTTAAAAATATCGATTTATTTTTCATTTACGCATCAATACAGTAGTGACACTTTGTTCAAAAGACAAAAAACGACGAAAAATTCTCGTTTTCCGTTAATTGGCGATGCAGACTTCGTTTCTTGGTTACTACTCGCAAGTAGCGCTTATGCAAAAGCAATTGTATCCACCTGCTACATATAGTTTGTAACGATTTGTAATCAAAACCTACGTTGAATGTCTATTGACCTCATTTTGTCTTTGATTTATATATTCCCTTCATAGAATTGACTTTCGTCAAATTACGTGTAATGTGTTAGCTATTAAACAAGTGACGGTCTCTCTCTCATCCCAATGTGTCCTACATTAGCCAATCATCAAGCCGCAAAAATTCTTTAATAATGCAGATGAGCTACCTCTCGTCACTTACTTTAAGTTACTTCACTTCATACACTTATTATATCATGTAAAACAACGACTGTCTCGTTGGTCTAGTGGTTGTAGTAGTGCGACTGCTGATCATAAAGTCTTCGGTTCAAATCCCGGGTCGGGCCAATGAATTAATTATTGAGTTTTTCCGTCAAGAAATTCTCAGTAATTGCCCCAGAGTCAGGAAGTTGGCGGTGTCTCACCCCCGTGCCTCGAAAAGCATGTAAAGCCATTGGTTCTGCGCCTGATCTCTCTCCGGTCGTGTAGGTTTACCGTCCCATCGGAATATGAGAGTGAGGGAATAGAGAGTGCACCTGTGCTTGCGCATACACTTGGGCACTATAATCCTGTCCTGCGACGATGGCTAGCCTCCGTTGAGGCAGGCTGCCGTGGCCGAAATTCGGTCTGGAGGACATATAAAACAAATAATGTGTGTATTTATTGTTAAGAAGTAGCTCTTCTCGATTGCCAAAACTATTAAGTAGTAAACATTTTAAAACTTGCTCTGTTTTATTGATGTTCAAAAAGCAGTCTATGTGTGGAAAACATCGATGTATTCTTTTATAAATCGATATAACATCGATGCCACTGTGCCATGCATTCGATAAAAAAATCGATGTTTTTTTTTCAACATGCACCACTGTGTCTCAGTCAGTTCCTAATAAAAAATAATATAATAAATTTATTACTCTATGTCTATATCACATAATAATAATAAGGGCTAATAATTCACGCTTACCAGATGTCGCTAGTTAAGACTTAACTTATTTGTTTTGCTTAAGGTTACACATGCACAGTGGTCATTATTGAACTTTAGTGACCGTGTGATTTAAATCAAAATCCACGTCTCAGTACAGTCATAAATAATATTCTTCATATTTTTATAGATCTTTCTCTTTTATATATATATTTAATTCGTTTTATTCTCTTCTAATCTAATTTACAATTAATATAAAATATATCTTTTACAATGAACATTAACCTTTACATTTTTTACAGATTAATATTCCCCGCCAAGAAGTATATAACCACCACGTTTTGATACTTTGTCCATGATACATTATATTACCCCCGCTATGAAGTCGGTCAAATATTTCACTTCATTCTTAAAAATTCCACTTTAGAGATGCCGCCTTGGTGATAGAAAAAGTCGTGGATAATTATACGCCAAGCTGCAGCTATATGATTAATGCAGCACGAATGGATAGCCTTAACCGGCGTAGGACCACGCTATCACAAACTACAGGCGTAAAATAACAGCTTAAATCAAACTTAATGCTGTTGTGTTTCGTATGGTGAGTGTAGAGAACCGGAAACCATTTTTACTGGAAACGAGGCAATCCATCTTAATCGAAGATAATTGTAGATGTCTGTTTGCTATTGGAACATTTAGGTACTCGCCGAGCGTAGAAGAATAGGCACGAGTAGAAATGTGTAAGCACCTTGTTACACCTATAATAGGCTGCATAAATGGATTCGTTCTCCTATCGTCATATAGCGAGTACACAGCGTGCCCATCTTAGCTTTGCGATAAACATAGAGGGAGGCAAATGAGGCAAAAATTCGATTATCATTATACATGAATATGCTAAACAGGATTGACTTTCTGTGAAATTTTACTTCTTTACTTTTTGCATTGTGCCGTTTCTTTAAATTTTATTAAAATACACATTAACGGTGTCATGTTTTAGCTTCGACCTCGCCATTCATATCTTCAATATAAAGTATATCATGTAGATAAATTCAAAAGTATAGTTACCTTTAGCTTCCTCATACGGCCAGGAGTGATGAACTGTTCTCAGATCCATATACCTTCACTAGCAACACGTACTGGTTATACAATCCTGTTTTCAAGTTCTGAGGTATACGTTGCGAGAAGATGTGTCGTATATTATCGTTTCTAGGAAACAGCTGACATGTTTCGGAGAAAAAAAAAATTCTCTCCAACATTTATAACACAATACATTTGAATAAAAAACAAGTTCCAACATGTCTTTAACTAAGTGCGTAACTACTTATAGGGGAACACATCAAGCGTTTAATAATAATAAGCCACTTATATGTAAAATAAAAATCATAAAACCTATTTTAAGTTATTTATTTAACAAATTACAGAAGATATTTTTGTGGTAAAGTCTGGTCTGCTTACGAAAACGTTTTAAAGAAACAAAATTAATATCTACCGATGTGCTGCATGCATTGTAAAGTCAAAGATAATATTATGTTTTCCAAGATTTTTTTATTAGTTTTGTAATTTTTTCTAACGCTGCTCATCGCTCAGGTTCTAGTTCATCGTAGTAGATTTATCGAGATTATATCGAAATATACATCAAGACTACTCTCGTATTTTCATCGACAAACCAATCATAACATATAAAGATCACATCACTAAGGTTGCTTGTCGAGACTAAGCATGGGCGTTAAATATCGGTTATGTAACCATTGCAGTTTTTTCCTGCAACGGTTACATAACCGATATTAACTCTTCATATCGTTATTGAAAACCTTTTTCAGATATCGATATCAATGGTAATTGTTTGCTACTAAATGCACAAACGATAACCGAAACATAACCGCAAACAGTAAGACCAGGGCAAAACATTTATTTAACGAATTACTTAGACAATTAAAGATAGTTTATTTATTAATGATTACTTAAGTTGGCGATTATTCTTCATCTTATCTAGGCTTAGGATTAACAGAAAACTTTTTTGAGTTACAACTTAAGTTCCCAGAAGTAGATTTATAGGACAACTTTTATTGATGATATTTACAAACAGCAAGGTACACGAAATTGATTTTTTATCAAAGTGATACCATATTTCACTAGCTTTAAGCGACATTTTGAATGTTTTTTTACAAAAATGATTTAGAGAGTCTAAATCAACTTAAACTACACTATACTATATTATTGTCATTATATGTGTACAATACACATAAATGTCCGAACTAAAACCACAAAAATATTGCAAATAAAGGCATGAACCCAACGTCTAAAATTCATAATTTAATAAATAGTATCTAAGAGAACGCCACGCGCTACCTTGGTCAAGTGCGTGATTGTTGCTAATATAATATGCTTATACAAATCTAAGGCTTGCGTCTAATGACCTAAAGATAATTTAAAATTGGATAACTCTCACAACTACACAAACTTAAAACTTAGGCAAATTTAACCATTTAAAATTCTTCAATTATATTTCACGATGTGCACCGTTGTGTAATAACTACCAAAACATCGCAACGATATCCATATTCGCTTCGTTTCTTTCTATACTTATTTATGGTATCGTTGCAAGAAAGAGAAGCGACGAATATCAACGAAGGACATCGGTTAGTTAGTGGTCCGTTTTCCGTTTTGGCAGATCGTTCCACAGTTTGCGTTATGCCTTTTGGTTTCGTTTTCGTACGTTGGTTAGGTTTTGGTTGGATATGTTATAACGATTATGTACGTAAGTTTACCGATATGATATGCTATTTTGGTAACATAACGTTATTAGTTGTTTTGATATATCGGTCTCATGTCTATTGCCGACTCGAAACGAAATGTCGAATGTCGATGTCGTTGTCCGTCGTGCGATGTCTGTGACTGATACGTTTTATTTTTGTGGGATTGAAAATGTTGTACAGTAAACTGCGCCTCAACAGCCTGTTCACTAAAAATTGTTAAATTTGTTATTTGTGTTCATAAAGACTACTTATTTTCGACGACATAGGGAAGGTGGGTAGTACATAACAATATTTCGTTTACGTCGTGATCTAACATTGGCGCGTTATAGTGGTTCCAAAGAGATTTTGTAATGGGGCTATTGTTTTGCTCAATGTAAAATATAAATATACTTTACGTATAGGTGAGTGGTTATGCACGAAAAATGCCGTCGACGTCGCGGTCGCGGGGCTCGGGCCGTGGACCGGATGGTGCGCCACGGCCCCAAGTCATAGCTCCCATGTCGGAGCGGCAACAGTTAGCGTTAGTGATGCAAATTTCATCTCAAGATGCGCCTCCAGGTGAACTGTCGAGTTGTTTATGTAAATATATAAGATGCAAATAGGTCAAGTTTGACTTCCCGCCATTTTCGTATTCAGCCGCTCCGACTCCTGCAGAAGAACGAAAGCGAACCAGACAACAGCGTAACGAGCGTGGAGAAACACCCCTACATGTTGCTGCCATCAGAGGAGATCATGAACAAGTTAAAAAACTTTTAGATCAAGGCCAAAATCCAGATGTTCCAGATTTTGCTGGTAAGCAGTAATACACTTATTAAATTATTATTTATTGGTAATAATTGAGAAATACATGTGTTTTGTTGACATAAATACTATGGAACCATTCAAATCATTCTAGAATATGTTAGAATTTATTAAATAAAATTAATAGCTCATAGAATATTGTCACATTGCTATGATAAGTAGTATCACATATATGGTTTTCTTATAAATCATTTTAAATACTATATATAACTGCTAAGTTTTGTTATGTAGCAGATTTTGCATGAATAATAATAATATATGATGACACAAAAACTTTAGGATTATCAAAGATAATGCGGACCTATATAACATTATTTTGTAAAATATATGAGGATTTTTACACAGTTGCAATATTTTTAAATCGGTACCTTCCATGAGTTATACACCCAACAACACCTACCTACGTACGTATAAACTACAGCTTAGAAGTGTATATAACCTTAAATTAGTTATAAGCTAAAACACATAATATATATGGTGATCATTAAAACAAGATTATTATTTCTAAATTAATTAATCAACTTCATAAAACCTTAAAGGAAAAATATCAATCCCAAAAATATTAAATACAAATTAGAAACATACTTTTTAAATCAACTAACATAATATAATTAAAAACTAACACATATACTCTTTATATTATAATTACCATTTATGTATATACCAAAAATATGAAATAATATTTCGTCCGAATTACGTGTATACTCTTCCAACTGAACGTTTACTACAACTCATCCTCATGTATTTTTTTATTGAAACGAGCGAATTACCTTCTTACTTGAAATAATGTTAAAATATTTGCACCCGAAAGACGGTGAACTGCTGTGTGCAGAAAAATCTTATATAGGTTTATGTTGCGCTGTACTTATGAACTGTGTATAATATGTATTTTAGTTGTTGTAAAATAATAAAAAAAAACAACAGGACTCTCTACTAAGATAGCTGTTATACAAATATTTACATTTAAAACAATTAAAAATAAAAAACTACTAAATAATTAACTCTTAGTACAATAGACTTGATGTTTAATGCAGATTATATCCATTTTTGATCAAAAATTAACATAGAAGAAAATTCTACATGCAAAAAAATTTTTACTGGACACCATTGAATTTATTTTTAGTTGCTCAAAAATAATTATATTTTTAAAAATCTGTCTCCTATTTTGAAGAGTATGTGTGTTACTTTAATAGGTACTATTAATAAAATTAAATTTGGTAAGTAGCCAATTTATAGCATACAACTTAATATTAAATTGGATGGTGCGAAAGATATCATCATCTAATATGTAAATATAACAGTTCATAACATATCAGATGATAATTATTCTGCACCATTATTTTTATACCAGTAATGAAAAAAATATGTTCAACTATCCCTCGTTCAAAAATATAATATAATAGCAATCATAATTATGTCATAAACTTAGATGAAGACTACACATTGAATAAAACTATACAGCACCTATGGTCACCGTGGGGGGGGGGGTGGACTGAGATGTTTGACCAATTTCATAGTTAGCCTGGCTATCCTCAGAGTTTTTGAATATTAATCTTTGGTCCAATCTAGAGATTGCAAAATCCGGATTTTTTTGAAATCCGAATTTTTGAATTTTCCTATGATTAAAACCCGGAAAATCCGGATTTTTCGAAGTTTTGGGGTGATTTGATAAAACTGAAATAAAACAGCATAAATCATTTAAAATCTGACACGACGGAATAACATCAACCAAAATAAACAAAAACCGTGTAGTGGCGGTTAAGAATATACACTACCCCATATCTTCCTGTGGGTGTGGTAAAAGGCCACAGAGGGAAGATGGGCAGCAGCATCTTCCTGATAAATGTAACAAAAAACTGCAGTTACCAACCCGCTCGCCAAGCGTGACAACTGTGGCAATATACCCCCCATGAGCAACGACGCAAATAGACGGCCCCCAGACCATGGTAACGGCAGGGAAGGGGTTGCTAAGAATCTCCTGACTCGACCTGACAAATTACAACGCACGCACCCTGAGGACTGACGAGAAGATCCTGGAGCTGGAAGAAGAGATAGACAAATTGTGTTGGAATATTATAGGATTATCCGAGGTCCGAAGAGAGGGGGAAGACACGGTGATTCTCAAATCCGGCAACTCGTTCTATCACCGAGAGGATGACCATCTGTCCCAAGGAGGTGTTGGATTTATTGTCCACAAGTCTCTCGTTGACAGCTTTATAAACATTGGGAGTGTGGCGACGAGGGTTGCGTACTTTATACTCAGAATATACCACACGTTAATCGCTGAAGGTCATACAGGTTTACGCACCAATGTCAGCACATCCCGATGAAGAGGTGGAGGAAATGCATGAGGATATTTCTAAAACCATGCATTCCTTCAAAACCCAGTATACGGTTTCAATGGGAGACTTCAACGCAAAGCTAGGCACAAGAAAAATCGGTGAGCTGAAGGTAGAGAAATTTGGGACAAGGCAACGGAATCCAAGGGGCCAGCAGCAGGCCGACTTCATGGAGAAAGTGGGATTCTTTATGATGAACTCTTTTCTTTCAGAAGCGGCCCCACAGAAAGCGGACCTGGTCGAACCCCGGTTCGAAAAAAAATAACATTGATTTCATTATGACGACTAGACGGCAACTGTTCAGTAATGTCTCAGTGATCGCAAGATTGAAAACTGGCAGCGATCACCGAATGGTTAGAGGCACACTGAACCTAAACGATAAGTTGGAGAGGTCTCGTCTAATGAAGTCAACACTCAGTCCCCTCATGCTCTAATCCAAAATCCCGAAAAATTTCAGCTGGAGTTACAAAACAGTTTTCAGTGGCTAGAAGATTGCAATGCTATGCAGTCGGAGCTAATTTCTGCATGACCCGCCGCAGAAGAATTTGAAGTCCTTCAGAAGCTCTTTAATTCCGTCCACCATGGTAGCACTACGAAGGTGTGGAGCAGAAGCACGGTGGTCTTGAGTTGTCGTGTGTCTTGAGAGCGTTGTCACCTCTCTTGAAGAACTACAGACCAATTTCCCTTCTGAGCCGCGTCTGCGTGCCGTTTTCGAGAGTCATTACAAATCGTCTCGCACGCAGCGCGAGCAAGCCGATTTCCGAAAAGACTTCAGTACCATAGACCACATACATATCCTACGGCAGATTGTACAGAAGACCGAAGAGTACAATCTGCCACTTTGCCTGGCGTATGTGGACTATGAGAAAGCCTTTGATTCCGTCGAAATTTGGGCGGTGCTACAGTCCCTTCAGCAGTGCCAAGTTGACTGTCATTATATCGAAGTGCTGAAGTGTTTGTACAGTAGGGCTACTATGGCTATCCGAGTACAGAACCAGAGTTCGAAACCGCTGTATTGGAAGACGTTTTCAAGCTTATTATTAAGCCTTTATTGCCAACACAATATACATAATTTATCATTTCATAGTTAAAATTATGCATGCAAATTAAAATATATAACTTTAAAGTAAAATTGACCTTAACATTAAATTCATTATTAACATTATTGAATTACTATTATACATTATTAATATCATATGTATTTAATTTTAGTTGATATTATATTAGTATGATGTTGTTATCGGGCGTCGCGTCGGCGTGTCTTTGCGACACGAAGGCCTCCTCCAGCTTGCTCCATTCTGCTCTTGTTTCAGTTGTTCTGTGCCATGTTGGACCCGCATGCTTTTTTAAGTCATCAGACCAACGTTTTCTTTGTCTTCCTCGTTTTCTTTTTGTTTGGTATCTAGGGGTCCATTCTGTTATATCTTTCGTCCATTTATTTCTATTCTCTCTCATCATGTGGCCTACCCATCTCCATTTGAGTTTTCTAATTTTAACTATTATATCTTCAATTTTGGTAATTTGTCTTAGATCTACCGCTCTCTTTCTGTCTCTTTTTGTGTAACCCAGTATACTCCTCTCCATGGCTCTTTGGCATGTAATCAGTTTTTGGTTTTGTTTTTGTGTGTTTGCCCAGGTCTGGCACCCATAGGTAAGGATTGGTAATATGCATGTATTGTATACTTTCCTTTTCATTGCAATATTATATTCATTGCCTTTTAGCACTTCTTTGAGGGACCAAAATCTCTTCCAGGCATTGGCTACCCGTCTTTCAATCTCTGAATCCATTTGGTTGTTGAAGGCGATAAGTTGGCCTAAATATACATAGGAATTTACATAATCTATTTCCTCCTCATCTACTGAGATACTTATTTGGGATCTGTTTGTTATTATCTTTGTCTTTGTTTTGTTTATTGTTAGTCCCACCTTTTTACTTTCACATGATAAATCTTGGAGCATGTTTTTAAGGCTTTCCGAGTTATCTGTTATAAGTATTATGTCATCTGCAAATCTTAAATGATTTAAATGTGTTCCATTTATGTTAATCCCTATGTTGTCCCATTCCATTTTCCTGATGACTTCCTCTAGTACGGATGAAAAAAGTTTTGGTGAGAGTGGGTCTCCCTGCCTCACTCCCCTGTGTATTGGAAATATTTCCCCTTCTGCTTTTAGTTTGATTCGTGCTTTGCTGTTGGAATACACATTTTTTATTATCCTTATATATTTATTTTCTATTCCTTGATTTTTCAGGGCTTCCCAAATGTACTGATGTTCCAGGCTGTCAAACGCTTTGTTATAGTCCACAAATGCCATGTATAATAGGATAATCGTATTCTTGACATTTTTCAATGAGCTGTTTTACCACATGTATGTGGTCAATTGTTGCAAAGCCCGATCGGAATCCAGCCTGTTCTCTTGATTGTTGTTCTTCAAGTTTTTTGCTAATGCGCTTCAGTATTATTTTTGAGAACACCTTGTATATGTTGGACATGAGACTTATTGGGCGATAGTTTCCTATGTCTGATCTATCTCCTTTCTTAAAGATGAGTATTATAGTGCTTATTGTCCACTGTGAAGGTATGGATTCTGTGTTTAGGATAAGATTAAACAAGTTAGTTAGTTTTTTTGTTGTTTCTGGCAATGTAGCTTTCA